ATCTTGAATCTTAAGTATCAAGCATGTTTGAAATTTAGGACTTGGAATCCTTTAGAGTAGGGGCAAGAACGATTGAATCCTGACCAGGCACTCACAACAGCCAATGACAGGGAGCTTTAGCCTACTCATTTCTTCATTCCCAACCCCCATCCCCACCCCGGTGACCCTCCTCAGGATACGTGGTATAGATATCAGATGGATGGATCAAGGCAAGGCAATGTTATTTATGTATATACCACAGAGGCGATTCAAGTGCTTTACAGGGGCAAGGAAAAACAGCAACAGTGGTAAAAACAATAACCAGAATAAAATCAGTAGAGAAAGTGATGATAAAACTTAAAAAGAGATCAAATAAATTAAATAAAAAAAGAAGACATAAAAGGTCTGAAACAGAAATCTAGCAGTTACAGTGCAGAAGGTACAGCATGGAAGCCAGTTAGAGGCACAGAAAAATAGTTTTCAGTTGAGATTTGAAAGTGGCAGAGTTGGGGCACATCTAAGGTTCAGGAAGCAGGTTCCATCTGTGTGCATCACAGTAGCTAAAAGCAGCTTCACCCCGTCTGGTTCTGACCCGAGGTTCTACCAGCTGACTGCTTCCTCAGGATCTCAGCCCTGTTGGGTTTGTTTTCTTCAAGGAGCTTAGATCACAGTGATTTATAAACTAGCAGTAGCACTTTACAATCTCTTCTGTAGGTAACAGGTAGCCAGTGTCCCAATATACAGTATATAAGGCCCTTAGACCTTAGACAAGGGATTGGCAATTAATTTTTACAAGGGGCCACATGAGAAACCTGAACTGTGTTGGAGGGCCGAACCAACCATAACTTGAACTTAATTCTGCTCAATATTCATTATCTTCCATTGTAAAAAGCAGTAAATTATATGTGTTGATTAGCTGCTACTGCTAATCAGAAGAATAAGCATATTCTATAAATATTTAAATATATGAAATTGTGGTGTAGGTCAAACAGGAAAATACTCCTATAGAAGTAATAAACAGTAAAATAAATAAATAAATAAATAAATAAAT